TTTTCCTTTTTCTTGAATATTTACCTTTGACTCTTGTACCTCTCTCAGTGGTAGGTCCTTGTTATTGTTGTTATACTCCAAATTACAATTGTTTTTACGCGCATTGTCTTCGTGAATCCCATTTTTGTTGATTTCTGCTGCTGTGTGTATTCGGGTGGAAGATTTCGGAGTGTGAAATTCTAATTCCAAATTTAATTTCCTCGCCGACAGTTTGGGCTTTAAGTTTGTTGGTGTATTTTTGAATTTCTTCGTATTATTGGACGATATATTAGTTTTCCTCGTAGTTAAGTTTGTAGTTAGACTGGTACACAAACTTTTAAGCCGCTCATTCTTTTGTATTTCTTCTTCTAACTTTTGTTTTAGTGTGGAATTATCTAAGTTGAGTTGTTCTATTTCCGCGTGTGCACTTTGCAATTGACCTCGTAAGTTCTCAATTAGGTTTTGTAGTTCCAATATTTCATCACTCTTGATATGTGTGGATAAATCCATCATACTCCTAACACTTAAATTTAAACACGAAGTATCAAGTGAATCAACAGAACCGTTTGAATAGCATTTTCGAATGCGTCTGTTTCTCATTGTAATATTAGTATTTTCCATTGTTTTTTTTTTTTTTTTATTTATAATGTTTCGTGCGTATTCTGCTTGCAATGGAACGTGAACTCAAAAGGCAGGAGTCCAAGTTAACCATATGAATTAAATTTTAATTTCTGAACGCTCCGTCTAGTGTCATACTTTTGACGTGTTTTCTGATTGGTCGACGGATGTTTGTTTTTATGCCGTCAGGTTGTCAGAATTGCAGGTCTTTTGGAATTTGTAAAATTTTGAATTAATAACTGCATAAGATTGTAAGATGTGTAGGTTTAAACGTTTTTAACACTTGCACTGATTAATTGTTACCACATAAATGTTGTCCAATTTGTTAATAATTGCTGCTTTTGCAGTTTTTATAATGTTTTTTTGGATTAATTAACAACAAAACACAGATCTTTAGTAGTTCACTTTGCAGTGTATTATTTACACAAGCACTTGAGTTTTCACTGAGATAACATTATCACTGTATATTTATGACTTATTAAGCGTCCTGATGTATTCTTCTATTAATTATGTTTGGAAATACTTAAGAATTTAATTAATCACTAACAAGCTATTGTTGACACTTTTAGGCAGTGTTGCCAACCATGTATATAGGTACATTTATTTTTTTTATTAAAATACTCTAATTTGAACGTAGTTTTTCCTTCCCCATCCCTTATCAATACAACCCAATCCATAAAGGTTAAATGAGTTAATTTTTACACGAAATCCTATGGCAGTAATTTTTTTAAAGGCAGAAACTCAATGTTTGCCTTCTCTCGCCTTAGTGTCAGACTCTTACTGACTAAAACCACCCCGTTCCTTCTCCTGCCCTTCAAGCCGGAGCCCCGGCAACCTGTTAAGTCCTCCGCGGCTCCGTATCGGCATCAGCCCTATTAGGCCCCATCTGTGGTGGTCTGTATGGTAGCTATTAAATGTGAAACAATGATAATACAAAATAGGTAAGAACAGAATATTACCATTGCTTCTCAAATACATCAAAAAAGAAGCAAGTATGAAATAAAACACAGAACGTCCATCTTTTACTGCTCCTAACGCGCAAATCGCACCATATCAACGAAATTGGACATCGAGGAAATTGTCGGCCATAAATAAAGTGTCAATAAGCTTTATATTAAGACGGACATCGACATATTTAAACCAAGAAACACAACAGAACATAATCCCCGTCATTTGTACTAAAGAGATCAGTAGCTGACATTTTAATTTCTAATGAATAATGTATTACTATCATGAAGATTAACAGTTCTAGGAATAAAATGGTTATTCTTCGTATAACAGAGTATTGTTAGGATAATGCTTCAGTTTTGTTACTTTTGTTTTTTGTGATACAATAAGGATTATATAGATGAGCCTAGTAATATTTCTATAGAAATGGGTGAACTACTTTTTATACTGCGTAACACAAATGTTTTGTTGTCCTATTTATGAAATTAATAAAGAAGAGAATTGAAAACGTTGTAGAATCTAAACTAACTTACGTACTACGTAAAAAAATTGTACTAATAAAATAAAAAGTTTATGAGAAATTTAATGTTTAATTTGAGGTCTCAAGAAAAATAAATTGAAATTGGAATCACTTAATTTTTTTTTAACGTGTAGGTACTTAGTAGTCTCTCGTTTGCAGATAAACGACGCGACGCTTTAAAATAGATTATAATATAAGTCTGCCGAACCGATTTAAAATCTAAGGTAAGATCATTAACATCAACAATACCTGATCTCTAGTAATCCATTCGTGCATCGAGTAAAAACAATGAAGTACTCATTCGAAACTGCAATACTTTTTTTTATGGCATAAGTCGGTAAACGAGCAGACGGACCACCTGATGGTAAGCAATCGGCGTCGCCGATGGACACCTGGAACACCAGAGGCGTTACAAGTGCGTTACCGGCCTTTTGGGGATTAGGAGTTTGAGGATCGTTGGGGATTCAGGGATTGGGGAGATTGGGGAAGGGGAGGGTAATTGGGCCTTCGGTAACCTCACTCACACGACGAAACACAACGCAAGCGTTGCTACATGTCGGTTTTCTGTGAGGCCGTGGTATCACTCCGGTCGAGCCGGCCCATTTCTGCCGAAGCAAGGCTCTCCCACACTTAAAATACTTCGTGAAAACACACGCATCATGCATACAAATAAGGCTTTTCCATGAAATATGAACATATCTACGTACACAATGTATCCAAACGAACAGGGGAGACGAAGTTTAACGTCATATTAGTACCCGTACATTAACTCCTTTGAAGCCGCCACGTACGAGGAACCTCTCTAATTACAACAT